AGAGTGTGAGATGCAAGGACTTACAGAGGGGAAGATCCAAGGACTTACAGAGGGGAAGATCCAAGGACTTACAGAGGGGAAGATCCAAGGATTTAGAGGGGAAGGTCCAAGGACTTATGGGGCACATCCAAAGACTTAGAGGGGCAGATCCAAGGATGTACAGAGGGACAGATCCAAGGCCTCAGAGAGGGGCAGATCCAAGGATTTACAGGGGCACATCCAAGGACTTAGAGAGGGGTAGATCCAAGGTCTTACAGAGGGGCAGATCCAAGGACTTACAGAGGGGAAGATCCAAGGACTTAAGAGGGGCAGATCTGAGAACTTAGAGAGGGGAAGATCGAAGGTCTTAGAGGGGCAGATCCAAGGATTTAGAGGGGAAGATCGAAGGTCTTAGAGGGGAAGATCCAAGGACTCAGAGGGGCAGATCCAAGGACATACAGAGGGGAAGATCCAAGGACTTAGAGAGGCAGATCCAAGGTGTTAGAGAGGGGCAGATCCAAGAATTTAAGGAGGGCCAGACCCAGGGACTGACATACCCAGCTCGTGTGGGAACTCCTCGCAGAGGATGGCCACGGAGGTGCTGATCCCTTGGAAGACGGAGACGGTGAAGGAGGCGCCGATGGCCAAGCCGTCGATGAAGTTGTGGAGGCCATCGCTGAGGGTGATCATCCACGCCAGAGTGCCGATGTCCGAGTACCTCACCTCCTTCAGCCAGTAGCACGCGCTCTGCGAGGCCTGCAGGTCCTGCCACAGCACCCAACGGGGGGCTCAGCACCCCCAAACACTCTGTGGGGGTCACTGATCCCTCCCCCAGCTGGGAAATCCACCCTCCCACCCATTAAACCCACACAGGGCTTGACCAGAGCTGTTTGCTTCCCACCAGCCACAGAGGATTTGGGCTCTGAAACTCTTTTCCATTGACAGGTGGGATTTTTTCCACCTGCAATCCCATGGGATGAGGCACTCACCTGGACAGAGAGGGAGGCCACCACAGCCTTCTCATCCCCAGGGGGGGCCTTGCACTCCAGTTCATTGTTTATGTGTGGGATCATGTGGTCCAGGTCCCCGTTCTGGAGCTTCTCCGTGACTCCCTCCTCCTGGTCCTTCTTGGAGGGCAGAGCCTCAGGGCCATAGTGGCTGTGCCCATGGTGATGCTGTGGGATCAGGAGGATTTAGGGGTGTCAGCCACTCTGATATTCTTGCTGTTTCCCACCCCAGCAACCTCTGCTCAGCCTCACCTGGTCCTTCTGCTTCAGGAGCATCTTCAGGACCTTCTCTGTGAAGAAGAAGAGGTAGAAGCCCCCGAACACCACAGCAGATTTGGAAACATAATAGTCTTCCTGAGGGTTGAATCCAAACGCCTGCAGGCAGGAGGGGAGACATGAGAGGATGAGGAACAATCCCCAATAAACGCCTGCAGGCAGGAGGGGAGACACGAGAGGATGAGGAAAAGTCCCCAGAAGTGTCCTCCACCTGTTTTAACCCCTGGGGTGACACTGGGATGGGGGTGACACAGCTTTCTGACCTCTCTAGAGAGCAACTGCTTTGGGGACACACTCAGCACATGCCTTTGTGCACCTTTAATCTCCCTCATTCCCTCATCCAAGCTGGCTGTGCCCTCAGGCATTGCATCCAGCAGCTGCACTGGGGCAGGGATGCCAAAATCTGGTTCCTCTACGCATGCAGGACCAGAAAGGGCAATAAAAAAAAAAGTGATTCTCGGCTTGAAGCAGCCTGGGAGTCTCCCTGGATGGATTCCCTTCCAAACTCCAGCTCCAACTGTGCTTCCAGCCTCCATACCTCGCTCTCAGCTCCCCTCCAACGCTGCCTTCCCCTGCTGCAGCCAGCGAGTGCCCAGAGAGAGAGACAAACAGCCCCCGAGAGACAGAGAAAAGGCCAGAGCCGGCGATCCTCTCCCTACCTCGGGAATGAGCTGGAAGAGGGCGTTGGAGTAGAGAGTTCCAATCGCCAGAGCTATGAAGTAGAGGAGCAGCCGCTTGTAAAAGGTCTTCTTCATGAAGGGCACCACGCTGGCTCCCACCAGCGAGCACAGGGAGATGACGGTGACGCAGAGGAACCCGAAACCCCAAACTGCGGCGAGCGAGGAGCCAAACCCACCCCGGGGCCGGGACAGGGGAGGGGGATCAGCGTGGGCAGGGGCAGGGGAGCAATCCACACCGCCAGGACAGAGAGAGGAGGGAGAGAGGGAGAGAGAAAGGACATTCATTAGTGATTCTTGTTCATCTTGGCGCGGCTCTAAAGGGCGAACCCGGCGCCGAGCGGCTTTGGGAATGGCTCTTTGGGATGGGTTGTGTCCTTGGATCTCAGCAATTCTAGCTGAGTTTTGGCAGCTAAGCCATGTCCAGTCACACTCCCAGCTCTGCTCCATGAGCCATTCCCATACCACAGAGCACCAAGGTCCCCCGAGCACCTCGTACGCTCCATCCTCCTCCTGCAGACCCGGAGAGCCACGCTGGGATGCTCCAGCTGCTGGTGAGGCTGGAGCGTACGGACAGCATTCCCATTCCTGGCAGATCAGGAATTCGAGGTGCTTGGTTTTATGTCCAGCAAATAAAAGTTGCAGTTCTGGAGTTGAAAAGGAGCCTTAAGAAAACATCCTCCTTGCCAGCACGGATCGTTGCCTGGGAGCAAAGCAGGCGATGCCAGAGGGGCAAACACAGTGGAATTTTTAAGGCTAGATGTGCTTGGATCCAGCTGGTCATAGCCCAGGAGCCACCCAGACTGTGTTCCAAAGGTGTCCAATCTGGGTGGATTTATTCAACTCCAGAACTGTGCAATTACAACACAATTAATCTGTGATATTTCTGTCAGTCCCATCAGAGCACCAAGAAACCCAAAGGAAGCTTGAAATCCTTGTGGGAACATCAGGCTGGTCAGTCAGGGAGGAGGGAAAAAATAAAGGTAATTAAAGGAGATATTAAAGTTGGCTGATTCCAGAGGAAGCTGGTGCTTCTCCAGGGTTTTATATGGATATTTCCTCCACCTCGCAGTCCTTTCCATCCAGCTCACACCACTAGTGCTGCCCCAAGTGTGGCTGAGGGATAAACTCCTGCACACACAGAGCAGGAGCAAACAGTTTTTCCAAGCACATTCCTGGCAGGGCTGGAGGACACAGCTCCCTGCATGCTCCAGAGGGTTTCCTGGTGCTCGGAGGGGTGAGAAAAGGCCTGCGGAGCCCCTGAGCCAAGCCCTGAGCCTCGGGTGACGGAGGGATCGGTTGGATTCGGCAGGGTGAGGCAGGGAGGGAGCCAGGAGAGCTGCCCTCGGAGACGGGAGAGAGGCAGGGACGTTCTACCGCACCTCTGGGATGAGCTGGAAGAGCGCGTTAGAGAGCAGCGTGCCGATGGACAGCGCGATGAAAAACGTGAGGACCCGGCGGAAAAAGGCCTTCTGGGCACATGGAACGATGAGGACTCCGAGCAGGGAGGCCACGTTAATCAGGGACACACTGAGAAAACCAAAGCCCCACACTGCGGAAGGAGAAGAAACGAGGGCCAGACATTACCGAGGCTCTCGGCCACTCCCGGATCCGGGAAGGTGGGGAAGGCTCCGGATGGATTCCCCGGCCACGCGGCACTGGAATGTCTCTGCCTGTGCTCCCGACGCTCCAACTGCGGCAAAACCGGTGGTTTTGGGGGCAGAAAAGGTGGGAATGAAGCCACCAGGTTACTTGGAAAAGGCTTTCCCAAGCCGTGGGAGAAGCCAGTGCTGTGTTCAAGCTGATCCAAGACCTTGTCTCCAGACCGGGAAAGCGAGGGAGCCGATGAAGCATCCACAGTGGGTCCCTCTGGGTGCCAGGTCACCCCCTCCCACCCACAGGGGCTCACAGCAAGGTCCCCCCTCATCCAGCTGTCCCAGAGGCACAGGCTATCCTGGCAAAACCACACAATCCACAGCGAGGAAAACCCATCAGGATTCCTAGCTGCTGTAGGCAGCAAATTCCTGGGCATGAAAACAGGCTGTCCTGGAGTTCCTCGTGCCCCCAGCTCCATGCCCAGGCCTGGGCAGTGCCTGTGCCCCCCCAGCTCCTCTCTTACCTTCAGCTGAGCTGGGTCTGCTCTCCTCTGTCTGCTCGTTTTCCTCATTCTCCAGGTTTTCGGCGGCGCACGCTCCCGACTCCAACTGCTGCAGGATGGTGGGGCAGAACTCCTTGAACTCGCTGTGCCCCACGGCAGAGCCCTCGCTCAGGTTGTGGATGGCAAAAAGCTCCACGGAGCTGAAGCACTGGGAAAGGGAAAGGACACACTTGTGACATTCCCACAGCTCCGCAGGGAGAGGTGCACGGGGATGTTTTCGGGGAGCCACAAAGCCTTACCCGGGAGAGGTTCAGGCGCTGCTGTGGTGTCTGGGAGACGTTGGCATGTCCCCATCCCACGTCCAGGCCGTGCCGCCTTCAGGCTCAAGGTCTGGCTCTCTCCGTAGCGTTGGAGCAGATCCTGCAGGAAGGAGGCTGCGGAGACTCCGGGGCTGTCCCTGCCTGCCCAGACCTGCGGGCAGGGCAGGAGGCAGAGCAGCAGGAGCAGGCAGCAGCCCCAGGGGCCCGTGCTGGGGATCATGGTGCCTCTGGGCTGTCGGGAGAGAAAACACACTGCCCTTAGCTCCAGCATTCCCAGCGCTCCGACACTGCTCCCCACCCCACAGCTCCGTCAGGACACGGAGGATTTCTTCCCCGGGGAGAGGGTGATACAGTACTGAGAACACCCAGATCCCGAGGAGGGACTCGGTGTTTTTCCACAAGTCATCCAAGCCCACCCACCTCTCCCCTCCACCCTGCAGCCCCTCAGCACCACATTCCCAAGCCTCTCCCTCCCTGCTCACCGTGAGGAGCTGCCGGGACGCTGCTCCCGGGGGCTCTCCAGCTCCACGCTGCCTCGGGACCCTGGGAAGAGAGGCAGGGGGTTGGGAGTCAGGCCGGGCT